CAAAAGTGACATTTCATAATACTTGAGCCGTAATACCGATAATACAGATTGTTTTTTAACATATATTGTTTAACTTTTCTTTCAGCCTCACCGGAAATACTTTGTTGTTTTCGTTTGTTATTTTTGCAATTATAGGCGGTATTTTATATTTAGTTGTTTTAAAAGAAGTTATTTATTACCAGAAATTATAGCTAGTAAAGCATTTCATATAATCATCATTAACAGTCCCATGACTGGATGTGGTCGTAGGGTTGAAGGTTGCTCGACTCTGTGGACGTAAAAAGGCGGATCTTGTCTGTAAGGGTCTGAACTGCTGGCACTAAAGAATGGAGCACATCTAAACACTTGCCTTAGTAGTAACGACAGTCTTGTTACGTTGCGCCGTGTTGTAGGATGGGGCATATATAATCCCTCCACAAGTCGACATAAACAATTCGGAACACTGTCAAGACTGGAAAGTGATGTCTGAGCAGACCCTGTCGAAATTACCAAAAGTTATTGTGAAAGATAAACAAGAAGTAAACCTTCTTAAACCGCGAAATATTCAACAGAGAAAGAAGTATATATATAAAAAAAAAAATGGAGACAAATCCCTAGACACCTTATTTTTTTTAGACGAGTCTTTATTTGCTCATAATAGCGTGAGGCTTAGGGGTTAAAATGAATAGATTATTTACTCAGCTTATCCAGAGAAATAGATTAATAAAGGATAATAATGGCAAGGAAACACACGGGTAATTTTAACAAAACAAGATAATGGAATTTATCATGAATTTACACGTTTGAAATAGTGTCAGTAGTTCGTTTCAGGAAAATAAATCAGAATTCTTAAAGTCCGTAGTTTCAACGTATGAAGAGGAAATGTTCATACAACAGATTGTATGATCTGACACAAAATAATATTAAAAATTGTTTTAAAAAGTTCGTTGCTCACCGAAGAGATATATGGTTTGTATAAGTTCAAAAGTAGATGAAGAGAGATAGTTTGAAATGGTTAGCTTTCTTTGATTGTTGAAAGAAAATTCAATGAAATGCCGCATGCTGGTTAGAGGCCGATGATATAATATGCGAGTGTTTTTACACTGGCGAGAACTTCAATGCTGGTCGCGAGAAACTGAAACGAAACCTTTCATATGACTTCAAATACTCTTTTCTCTTTAATTTAATTTTTCTCCTCATTTTATATAAAAAAGAATTTTGTGTAGGCTCCTACTTTCTTCTTCTTCTCGGCTATTTTCTGTGAAGGCAAGGTTTTCATTAATCAAAAAATCATAATGGCTCACAAATTCCTTCCCTTCTCCCTCGCCTCAACGATCAGTTTCTGTCAAGGCAAGGTTTTTATTGTTCCAAAGAAAATTTCATATAGCCTCACGAATTCTTTTCCGTCTGCCTCCTCGGTCCTCTGAATTTGAAGGGAATGAGTGAAGGGAGTTATTATTTCGCACTCACCTCAGGTTCACGTTTAAAACAGCATATGATTATGGTTCTACAGATTACTTCGAAAATAAATTTGTTTGAAGCTCTTTGCAGCTAGCAGGGTTTTTTTTTTTTTTAAAAAAAAATAGGTAACTTGTTTGTAAGCAATTGTACATAAATTTGACTAAATTTCATCTTCACTACTTACGTCAGTGTGGCTTAAAAGAAAAGTGAAATGAAAAAAGAAAGAAAAATGTAAAATTAAACAAAAGTTACTAAATATACTATTCTACCAGTTAAGTTACACTGAAATAACTTGCTTTTTTATTTATTAAAGCACAGGCATAAAAATATTTAAGTAACTTGAACACTAATACCGGTGCGAAAATCAAGCAACCTGAATACTGGTCAAAACATGAAACCTATTGAACATGTCTGAGCCATTTTGAACCGTGGAATTTAAAAAATATTCGGAAAACGTCTACAAAAATATATATTTAAACATATATTCTTAAATATAACAGACAATGAATGTTTATTATGTCCGATCATGAGCCGTTCTGTTTGTATGTTTGTTTTAATTTCGGGTGAAAATAAAAAAAAATTGTCCAACATTTGGATATTTGCTTTATTAAGTTGGTCCTTGATCTAAGCTTTCGGCTCACGTGAGCCATCTTCAGAGTGATTATACGGACATTTTAACAAAGATATTCACCATCGAAGATAATATTTTTTTTGTGTTTACATACAAGATTGCTATGCGACGATAACGGTTGCGGAAAAATGTTGTGTTGAAATATGTACTAATTTGGTTTGTAGTAAAATATTGGTACTTCTTAAAGAATATTTCTATTAACAAACAAAACAAAAAATAGCTGTTGTAGTTTATATAAAGAATTTGCACTGTGTTTACTGTAGGAATTCTTTTCCCGTTTTCGTGTCTTTTTGTGTTCGGCAATGACAGTGGAATGAACAAATCCTAAAGATTGTGTGTAGTTTTCCTTTGGTAGGTGTCTCGGAGGGAGATTTCTCCGCCAGTTCACACAGGAGCAACAAGAAATTTGAGTCAAGTTGCCAGGACAGGCCTCGTCTTCTGTAGCAAGTGTTGCGTGAGGGCTTGAAAGTTGCGACCGCTGTAAAGGAAAAGTGAAAAAGAGCGGGCCTTGAATGTAGAGTCCGCTGAAAATGAAAAATAGAAAGAAGCCGAATAGGGCTAGGTCAAGGCTTTTATGACCTCTGGGACTTCAAAAGGGCATAATCCAGCCCTGATAATATTCACCTGTGTCATTTATTTGCATTTTTACAACGGACGTTTTGTATTTAAATGTGCGCGTGGAGGTGCTCTTTCAGACTGTAAATTCATGGATACTAATGATCTGGGAATGTTCTTAGGCAGGTCATTAATAAAAAGGAGAAATCTAAGCTAAGTAAATAGCTGCACATATTTGGTGTCAAGTAATAGTTAACGAGCTAGTCTTGCTGAATAGTGAGTTGAATCCTAACTGGGTGCCTCATGCTTGCGCTCCCTTCCAAATTAAATAATGTTTAGTAAATGACAACAAAGAAGTTTGAGAGTAGGGATTCCGGGCTATTTTTGTCATTCCTCTCTATATTAGTTATCGTACAATTTTAGTAAAGCTTTCAATATCTTCTGATTACTGATAATCTCGTTCCCTTTTTTTCAATGTGTGATACTATAGATACCCACGTAGGAAGCAAAGATGTAGTTTTATCTCGATCTCAAGAGTTTATGTTTTATAGCCAGCAGATAGTTCTTTTGAAGTATGATCTTCTAAGCGGCATTCGCTTTGACCGAAGGGAAACGGGGAAGTAAAGGAGTGGATGAGGGTTTTTTGGAGATCAAGCAACAAAACACTAGACATTGATTATTTCCGGGTGCTGGTCTATATTAACAGTCATCCTTTGGATCGGAGGGTCATTTCTGATCTGCCCTTGGTGGAAACGGATTTGTCCTTCGTGCCGTTCCGATGTCACCTGTTCGTATTGCCAGCCTCACGTCGGAATATGTAGATGAACAATGAGTTTGTAGGAGGAAGGACTAATTTATGAGATCGACATAGAGCTATCCAACTAGACGTGCAGACGAAGCCCTGAATAAAACATATTCATATAATAAGGGAAATAGGGTTCACGCGCTTATTTCTCGACGTGACGTTTGTCTTTCGCGTCATTACCTTGTGAACATGCAGCAGGCCCATTTCCAGCTTTCGATGCACATCGATGAGATCGAAATGCAATGTAGGGCAATCATTGCAGAAATAACTTTTAATTCTTCAATTCACACCATGGGACGTCAAGACCTCACTCTGATTCCGGCCAAATGACCGATTTCGGCAGAAAGTTCGATTTCGCCCGAAATTCCAATTCATACCAAAAACTGAGTTCTTCAAATCACACGCACCCTAGAACTTCAATTCAGTTGAGTTCTTCAAATCATAAACTCTGCGGAACTTCAAAGCCTCAAGTCACAAAACCTCTCACTTTAACTCTGATTCCTTAGCATTTTGAAGAAATAAAATTGATTTCCTCAATTCACAGAGTTCATCAGAGATATTTTAAAAATCTGAATTCATTAGACATATTTTAAATTGAATTTAAAACAAAACCTTTTAAAACCACAAAGTTTTTGTCTTTAAATTCAATATAAATTAAAAACTTTTAAAATCACTAATTTTTTTCAGTTATTTTAAAATTTGAAATTTTAACTGTTCCCTCCTCATCCGGACACAAATCCCAATGCCGGATGTTCAAGCACCACATTAAGGGCAGATTTTCAACCCCGGCATCATCCTGATTCCAAAATGGTATAATATGTCTATGTATTGTTAACAAGCGAGTTATAGGGATTTCAGACACAAGAACGGACAAGCAGAATTTGCCGTTTATAGATAACTCCTGTGTATTTTTTTTTTTTTTTACAGTTGAACACTTTTTAAAATTTTGTTCATTATTATTGCATTTATTACAAATCATCATATTTTATTACTATTACTAATATTGTTTGTATTTTAGCTTATATATTCTTATTCTTATATACTTTTAATTTCTTATTCTTATCTTATATACTTTAAAAAAATTACCTGCATCAGATTATCATAATTATAAAATTAAATTGATTGAAATAATATAAAAATTTGAATGATTAAGGTATGTATTTCAAATTTGAAGCCTTACTTCTGAAGTTATCCACTTGCCCCTCTTCTTATATAACAATGAAAGAGGCTCCAGGCGGATTCTAACTTTAACTTTACGTGGGTGTATCGTGGTGTGGGGCTTAGGGGCTAAAATGAACAGTTGATTTTCCCACGTCAAGAAGGTAAATGAAGGATGATAATGACAAAGAAGCACACGGGTAATTTAAACAAAACAAAATATGGAATGTATTCACGAATTTACACGCTTGAAGTAGTGTCCATAGCTCGTTTCAGGAAAATAAATCAAAAGTCTTAAAGTCTGTAGTTTTAACGTATTGTCATGAAGGGAAAATGTTTATACAACAGATTCAATGATTTGACGCAAAATAACATATATACTATATAGGTAGAATGTTCCACTACTGATGTCTAGGAGCAAGTCACAAACTGGGCACCTATAATAAGGACGAGTTTCCACGTGGTAGAGACAGAGGCAAATAAAAGCAGAAAACTCGGAAAGCATCCAACCCTCAATGAACGAAACTGAAGAAATGACTCATCGACCAACCAGTCCCCCGAGTCACGTAACAACCGGGTCTGGACGAGTATTGAGACCACCCACAAGACTGGACATTTAAAATTAACAACAGTCATAACCTAAGAAGGAGAGATGTCATGATATCTATCTGTCTGTTTGTCTATCTAATATAGACGGAGTGATTCCTCTTTGAACGGGATCTGAATAAAGAAGACACTCGCCATTTTGATATTAATCTAAACACGTCTTTTGATTCGTTCTTCATTTACGAACACAACAAGTTCAGACATTTAATTTTCTCCTCATTTTTTGAAAAGAATTTCACGTAGGCTCGCTACTTTCTTTCTTTCTTCTTGTTGTCTGACCGACTAATTTCTGCGAAGGCAAGGTTTTCATTGGTCCAAAAATAATTTCACATTGGCTCGTGAATTTATTTGCTTCTTCTTCCTCAGTTCTCCAAATTTGAAGGGAGCTATTATCATTTCGCACTCACTCCACGTGGAAGCCACACTTTTTACTGAATAATAAATACAAACACTATATATTTTTCAAATTTGAAAAAAAGAATTTTAAAACAGTCTGGCTTGACCGAATTATTTTCGTCGATTCTTTTAGAGCTAATTGTAAATAAATTTTTACTTTACAAATGTAACACATCAAATATAATTCTTATAAACCATCTTTCTCTTAAATATACTCCTCTCTAAAAGATTATACTTATCTACACTTTTAATTTAATTATTTTTTATCACAAATAAAAAAAATATGAGAGGGAGAAAGATTATTAGTCTAACAAATTATGTTCATGACCTTTGTACAGACCTACAATGTCGGGCTTTACCAAATATATGTAGGTGGCCTTAATAGTACTTGCCGTAGGTACAGATATTTACCCATGCACTAAAAATAAAATAAGTGTTTCTGTTTATCGTGTGCCCGGTAAACGGTAGTCTAAGTTAAGAAGTCGATGTTTGTTATATTTTTTTTTTTATTTAATTTTAGCACGAGAATAGATTACATTTTTTTCTGAAATTAGAAAAATACAGTATAAGATTTTTGTCAAAAATTCATTCATTTAAATAATTTTCGGAAAATAGTAAAAAACAAAACAAAAAAAACAAAAATCGATAGCCAAAAGCAATCAATTATAGTTTTCTTTTATGTGCAGGCGAGTTATCTCCCATTTTTAACAAAATATGAATTTTCTCCCTTACATTTGTTAAACGAAAATGGGGATTTTCTTTATTTATTTGTTTATTTCTTGTCATTGTGCAATTTTTGATTTTAATCATCTCACCCTATGCAGTAAAACCACCATTTTTTGGAGTGTGTTTTTTTAGGAACGCTTACGCAAAAATCGAAGGATAATAATTTATCTCAAATGAAGAATAGACGGATATATAGTTTTATTAATTTATATGAATCTTTGTTCTTTAACCCTTTTGAGTCCCCTGAGACATATGATGTTTTCAACACGTCTACCGGGACATAATTGTCCCAAAAACGCATTGATATGGGATAAAGCGGATATTATATGCGCAACAGTTATTGCATCACCATTTTGATTTAGTGAGACTGCTACCAAACGCAGTGTTCACGTGACAGTTGAAGAAGGAGGAGTGTTCAAATTATTTCCCCCATATCTAACACCAGTACATTGCATGTTCACAGAAGTGTTATATTTCTATATGTATTTTTATGTATATATGTATGATCTAATAGCATACAATATAGGCGATGGAAAATACGTTCCAATAATGAAAAATTTTACAAAAATGTGTACTTTTTAGTTACAGGACACTTGTCCCACCAGCCTTTTAGGAGCACTGAGAATTGGACATATATGCCCCAGCAGACTTTTATGGTCCTATTTTCACTTTCCTTATTATATTAATATATGCACAAATAATAGTGTTATTAACCTACATTATATGTAACTCTCGACTAAATTATATTTGCAGATGTAAGATGAATCATATGACTGAAGATGAAATAAATAAGATGGCTCAAGAAATGGATGAAGATTTCAGTGATGATGATGACACATCTCCCAGCAGCCTTGAACCAAAATGTCTGCTGGGACACCAGTGTCCCATTGCTATAATTATAATAATACATTCAATAGATATACCTACTGAAATGAACATTAATATATTTTGATGTATACAGCAATTACGCGAATGTGGACTTGAAAGGGTTAATTAAAAATGTATATATCTGTTTGTATTTTATTTAAAAGAAATGTTTTTATAAAAAAAAAAAAGTCCAATAATTGTAAAGTCAGGGATCAATATTACAATGTATCAATATTTATAGGATTCTAAATTGATAAAAGGAAAGTTTAAAGAATGCGAAAAATTATTCCCTACTTTTCACAAAATGTTCTATCTTTACAAAAGTCAGATCAAATCAAAAATGGATTATTGCTGCCATGTCTGGGCTGGAGCTGCCCAATCCTCACTTTCTGGCCTTGATAGAATCCTTCTGTCATGCTTCATCTTTATAAGAGTCAAATTAGACCAAAAATGGAATGTTGATACCATATCTGGGTTGGAGCTGCCCAATGTTCATTTTCACTTTTCAAAATTTTTTATGCAGTTGTGTGGGTGATGAATTATTTCCAACCCTACAGCATTATAAGTAATACTCTACCTTGAGTAGCTCTTGAATTTTGTATTGGGTAAACATAAGTTACAAATAACATACAAAGTCAGATAGTTTGGCAGATCACTTTGTGAGATGATAATTGTTAGAAAATTAATTCATTCACTTCAATTAATCTATTGGAGTTTTTATGAAGCCAATTAAGAAGTCATGACATTGTTTTTTTTTTTATAAAAGTGTCTGTGTTTGAATTGCAATACAAGTGAGTTTACATTTGTTTTGGCCTCACATATATTACCTGATGAGGGGCATTTTGACATGGTGTAATGGTTAGCAAAACATGTCACATTAGATCAATTACAACTGTATAGTGAAGTCAGTCCTCTCTAGGTGCTCCATACTTTGGGCTATGCTTAGTAAATTGCTATCTTTTATGGGCACTTCAATGTGGTGTCATGGCTAGCAATTTTTGTCTTACTAGATCAATTATGACTAAACAGTTTGATTCTCACTGAGTGCTTGGTATTGTCAGCCTTGTGCCACATCTAAGCTATGCTTAGTAAATCACTATATAAACTGATGGGTCTTGTAGAAGCAAGTATCATATTCTTTTGGCAAGAGAACACCTTTTTTATCTCTTAAAAAACCCAATTATCTAGCAGAATACATTTTTGACTCTTACCTACATTTTAAAAGACAAGGTAACAAAAGAAAGAATTATCTGTTTTGTTACAAGGCAATCCTTTAACAATGTATCTTTCCATATTTACTTATTGCTTAAGAATATATCTTTTTCTATTTACTCATTTCATTTTTCAATAGGTGCCATTTGAACATGCGATTTTGTTTCAAACGTAACTAAAATTTATGATACATAAGTAAAATGCCATAAGTGATACATTCTTGGGCAATCATGTCTTTTCCAATTCATGACCGATGAGTAAACTGGTTGCCAAACAAGGCTATATATGACCCAGTTTGTCCTACGATTCAACCCATAGCTGGGGGAGAAAAAAAAAGATGGTTCATACCTTTCCCAAGAGTATTTGTGTGTAAGTGAATGTAACGGACACATATTCTGAAATTTCAATGCATGCATCTTTTTATATGATTTATACGCGCAATGTGAATTTTAAATGTTATATTAAAAGTGAAAATGATAATGAATTTTCATTTGATACTCTTTTGTTTCCAGAAAGGAAAAAAAAAACATTGTAGAAACAGCAAAAAAAAGATATGTGCCATTTATGGAGATGGTTTCATAGCTGAGAGTATAGTTCATAAGTGATTTGCTAGGTTCAGAAGTGGAAAGTTTGGTTTGGAAGACTGAGAATATTCTGGCAAGTATGCAGTCATTGATGACAAAATTTGAAATAATCCAGGTCATATGACATGGGACACTGCAGAGATGCTCCACATATGAGCATTTGAAAAAGCATGAATTATCACAATGTTTGGGTGCTACACAATTTAATAAAAAAAGTTTAATCAATTGAATTTCACTGGGATTCTCTACTTCAATGCATGAAACAGTTTTGAAAAGGACCACTATGGGTGATGAGAAATGGATGGTTTACAACAATGTGAAGTGAAGAAGTTCCTTGGGAAGATAAAATGAACCCCTGATAATCACTCCAAATCCTGGCTTATATCTAAAGGTGATGATGCATATCTGGTGTTATTGGAAGGGTGTTCTGCAAAATCAGATGTGGGATTCAGATGTCCCATTCCTAGTTAGACTGATTCAAGGCAGCAATTGATAAAAACCATTCAGAAGAAACCAGTAGTTTGGCTGGGATAACCTACTACCCCCACTATACTCACTTGATTGGATAATCAGATTACCACTAATTATGATCCCTACAAAATTTTATCAATGGGAAGAACTTTTATGGAAGTCTGTAGAGACTACTTAGACCAGCTTATCACCCAGAAAGATGCCAAGTTCTGGGAGGATGGAATCATGAAGCTGTCAAAGTATGTGGGTGAAGAAATCTATGTATATCTTTAAACATTGTCTTTGAAATTATCTCACTTGACTAGATATGCATGTTGATTTTCTCCCACAAATCTATCTTACTTGACTACATATGTTGATTTTCTCCAGGTGTCTTATCAACCACAATTGGGTTGTTCATACCAATTTTTAGTTGTTCATGTTCCAATAAGCTAGAACACATTTCTTAGATTTCTGATTAGAGCACACTTCAGACCATCTCTTGAGAAAGAAAGTTTAAAATTACTTAATTCATGTCAATTTTGCATCCCTATGAAATTAAAAGATTATAAGGTGCATTTAGACACTTGATGTTTTTTTTTTTTTAAACCATAAAGGCAAAAATGCCTTGCAAGCAACAAAAAAAGATATGTGCTCTGTACAGAGAATGTGCTTTAGCTGGCAGAACTGCACAGAAGTGGTTCGGTAAGTTTAGAGTTGGTGATCATAGTCATATTGATGAAGAACACCAAGGCAGACCACCCCACTACAGAAGACAATCAAATCAAGACATTGGTTAAGAATAACCTGTATTACACAACACGGAAATTGGCAGAAACACTAAATTTATCAAAATCCACCAACCATGAGCACTTTGTAGCGATTTGTGTACTCAAGCTTCACTATGTTTGGGTACCACATGATCTGAGTGAAAAGAATCTTTTGGATTGCATTTCATCTGTGATTTGCTGTATAAACACAATGAAAATGCACCCTTTTATGAAGCAAATTGTGACGGGTGATGAGAAATGAATCATTTACAACAATGTTTAGCAAAAAAGATCCTGGGGTAAGTGTCATGAGCCAACTTTAGCCACCTCAAAAGCAGGTCTTCACCCTAAGAAAATTATGCTGTGTATCTGTTGGGATCAGAAAGCAATCCTATAAGCTTCTGCCAAGATGAACTCTAAGTTGAAGGAAAAATGGAGAAAGGTTGTGCAACAAAATGGTTCATGTTTAATTGAATAAATATTTAATGGCATAATTTTGCTTTGTGTTTTAATTTCCCTTAAAAATTGGCATGAACTTTCCAGACAATCCAATACTTTGTATTTCACCTTGAATGAATTCTCAATCTCCCATGGCTGATATATGATAGCCTAGAATGAGCAAACAATCAAATCTTGTAAATCACTGGAAATAAAAACTTTTCTACTTATCTCAACCATGACTTATCTCCATTTGCAGTTTTGTCACTTTTCTCTTTTTAATGTTAAAGCCACTGTTACAAAGTCACTTTAAAAATGCTATAAACTTTGTTCCAACCAGTGACATTCAGAGGTTTGGTGATGCCCGGGGCCAAATGCTTCATTGTATGTCCCTAAGACTAAGTAGTGGGCTAGTACTGAGAAATGTAAGAAAGGAAGACATTTTAAATATGTAAAAATAGATGAAACGTAAAATAAACACTTTATTCAAATTAAATATATACTAAATTTTTATTTCATTCTTTGACTGGATACTCTCCCGAAGTGGATACCCGGCGCCATTACACCCTCTGCCAACCTCCATTTCTGCACGCTACTGGTTCCAACCCAATATCTTTATCTATTTAATTATTGTTAAGAACCATACGTTTCTCTATATACTTTCAGTTTCCATATACTTTAACTGTTTTAGTGGATATGAATAACTACTGTTTATACAATAAGGAAATCTGATCACTCCTGGAAATATGATTTAAAGGGAATAATGAGTAAAATTCTCTAATTAGCTATTGAAATTAAAATTGTTTCTAAAATAAAAGGAAGATTTTTACAAAATAACACTGCTTAATATACTTATACCCATCTTCTTGAAATGATCATTCTTATTGATATGGAAATATTAGTGCAAAATTGAAAGAAATTACCAAGAGAAAAAGTGAAATATACTATTCTTTATTTACAGTTTTGTTCTGAGAAAGAAGAGAAGCTTAATAAAGAAAGAAGAGAAGCAGGAGATTTGGGGAGAAAATGAAATGATGCATTAAGAAAAGGGACAGACTGTCTAAGCAGTGTAAATGAACATGTCTAAATAGAAAGTATAGAACAAATAAGGTATTTTAGGAGCAGTGGAGTGGATATGCACAGTACTGAAAGGAAAAAGAGAGAGAGAGAGAAAACTACAAGAAAAAGAAGAGCTAGGTAAGCAGTATGGACAAAAAAAAACTGACATAGTTGACAGGATGCAGGATAGAGAGAACAAAGACACTTAACTTGCAAAGAAAGGATTCCCAAGGAAAAAATTCAACATAATATAAATTATTTATGAAAAGCAGCTTGCTATTTTTAGATTTTTATAGAAAATTTGGTAAATATATTATACAATTTGAAAAACTCTTATTTTGAGATGTTTCACTGATCAAAGAGTGTCCGTAGAGAAAACAGATTTTGTTTCAACAAGATCTACATTGGTGATTCATGTTAAGCATATGAACACTGGATTTTGATAAATGCTGAATATGACTAACAAATCAGATTCTATCTCATCCCTTGTAGATTTGGTTGAAATAAAATCTGTTTTTTCTGATGACATTGTTCAATCAGCAGAACACATCAGAAGTGTTTCCTAAACTGTCTTATATATTTGAAATTCTAGTCAATTCCTATCCAATATTAAATCATATACAATTCAAAAATATTTAAAAAAATAAATAAAATGATAACATTTATAAATATATAAATTATAAATAAATTTATTAAAATGTCATGAGGAAATGTAAATAAAATGTCAGCTACTTTTCAAACATTTGTTGGAATATTTTTGTATCTGCCTTTCTGTATCATTTAAACTTAATGGCAATTCTCCTCCTTATCATCCTATCTAGGTATCAGGTTCCTTCATTCCAAGATAGTCTCTTGAAAAAAAAAAAAAGAAAATCAACATTAATTCTTTTTGATAACTATTTTAGAGTCCTCATTCAAATCTCATCATGTTTTTAGGATCAGGTAGGCTATTTTTTTTGCCAAGACTATCCTCATCAGTCCAATGTTTTAAACAAACCCAGCCCATTCCCCCAAATTTGCAAGAACAGAAAACAAAATGTTAGAAAAAAAAAAACAAAAAAAAAACAACAATTCTTTAATTCAACATGACTTAATAATTTTCAAATTTAACATAACTTTTAATTTACAAAATATACATACATGTATGTATGTATGTATACATATTTATTACCTTAAACATTATATTTAGTGCATACACATGTTTGAGAAGACATTGTTTTTTTTTTAACAGTGTAAATCTACATCTATTTGCTTGTGCATTTGAGAGTATAATCAAGAAAATAATGACTGTCAAATGCACAGTCCAGTAGACATGGATTTCTACTGTTTAAAAAAAAAAAAACAGATGTCTACTCAAACATTTATCCACTAAAATAAAACACTTAAAGTAATAAGAAATAATGTCAGATTATAAATCTATTCTTTAAAAAAAAAAAAAATATATATATATATCTCAAAACGAGTTTTGTTAAATTCAGCCAATAGGGTCTACCTATTTAATTTTTTATTCTATTTTTTTCCAATTTATAGATAAGATGTACATTTGGATAAAAATTATTGATAAACTGTTCAAAATTCATGTTCTTTTCTGGTTTGTTCAAGTATTTTCAACTATCTCAGTCATTATCATTAACATGAACTTTAGACAGTTTATTAATATTTTAGTCCTGATGTACAACATCTCATTCAAAAATTATAAATATAAAATGAAATAAATTTTATTCAATTGAATATAACAAAATCTGTTTTTTGGATGAATTCTTGCAGCCTAAACACACCTTAAATTTTATATATATATATATATATATATATATATATATATATATATATATATATATGAATCAAAAGCCTTTTTAAAAAAGTAAGTATCAATTGAAGGAATTAGACTGAGCAAGAAGGATGGACAAAGAACGACCAAAAGCTCTTCATTTTTGAATCCTTCCATATATTGTGGAACAGCCACCCCTTTTCAGCACTGACTGGAACTATAGGTCTAGCCAAGTGAAAGAACAAAATGTCCTGGGCAGGTGAATGATTAGGAAAAAATTAGTGCAAAACCTAAGTGAACTGAAGAGGCCTTTTAGTGCGAGAGGAACATAGAAGAGAGTTGAGAGGCAGGAAGGAGACAGCACGAGTGGCAATTTCTTGTCGTTGTCGTTACAGCTGACTGTCATCTCTGAATGGTTTTCAACTGATCTTGTATGTCATCTAATGTTATAGTACTGAAAAAGAAATAAAAAGAAACTGATATGATGAATCTAATATCAATAAAATAAGCAGAAAAAAGAAATCAAGAAACTAAGACTTCTACAATTGTGATTGTATTTAAGATTATATTTATTTAATATTGTATTAAAACACAAAATTTCAGAACCACCAATCAAGTTACCAAAGTGAAAATAGAGGTGTATAAAGTGATATCCAGTTGTGGAGAGGTACATTGGTATTCAATCATATGTGATTGGGTCAACAAGACAGTCTGATGATCCCCGATTATAGGACATCACTGATGGCTCTCCCCCGAGTCTCTGTTGTGAGTGATGCCACTAAAACAACATTTTAGAACCACCAATCAAGCTATAGAAATGGAAGTGTATGAAGTGGCATCCCATCGTGTGGAGGCGAACCAGGTTGTGATAAGCCCTGATTGGTTAAACCACAGAAATGATACAGTATAAAAAAAATTTATGTGATAAAAAAAAAATAATTACAATTCTATGTCCCCTACTTTAGACTTTAATCAATGAGGTGTTCGGGTGACCTCTTCTAAATATGCCTTGATTTGAGCCTATTTTTGCAATGTTATAAAATTTGAAAAAAAAGAAATTGAGAACAAAACTCTTCTTTTGAATTATCAGAAACAAAGAATTCAAACATGCAATAATTTGAAATTGTGACTGAGTGATCCTAGCAATTCAATGCCACTAGCCGGTGAAAATCATTGATCATTCATGCATTGTGGGGTTGATAATCACACAGACTAGCGGACAGTCTTAACAATTAACATTTACAGATAATAACAAGAAGATGATTCTGCAATGCAAAGTGGCCAACTAAAAACTCCTGATAGCAAGACAGAAACCAAAAACTAAGTCATGTGAATAGAAGGTTCCTTTCTAATAGAGGACTCAAAAGAAATATCAAAAGATACTACAGCATGATCTGAATTGCCAAGAAGACAGAGTTGTGATGCTCTACAAGAGCTAGGATTTGTTAAGGAAGAATATTGAACACATTTATTCAGAAAATAAGTAAGGAAATCCACTATTTGACTGAACAATAGAAAAATTGAAAGCTTCAATATTGGCAACATCAGTAACTTTATATAATTTCACTTACTGTATTACAAAAATTTTTATTGAAAAAAATTCATATCCAATGATCATAACTAAATCAAAATAGAATTATTAAGCCATTTTAAAAGAGACAATAATGTTGGTTTGAAAAAAAATTGTACATTATCCTTTTTAGACATTACACCCATGTATTTTTTAAGCATGAAATACAATAAAAATCATAGTTACCTCCTTTCCACAGCAGCAAGTCTATAAAAATATAAAGAAAGAAATGGTTAAAAAGAAATTGATCATAAAACAATATTATGGGATATATAATTGTATAAATGAATTTCTTTGATCAATTATTTAACATACATATATACAAGCCTAAATAAAATAAGGAATCGATTTTTTTTCTAAAATAGCTGATTAGCACACTTTTTTGAGTCATCTTTCATCACAATGTAATTCTCTGTTATTAAAAAATCTCCCAAAAATAAAATATACTTTTCTGAAACTTTATTTCAGGAATATTAGATGATTTAAAGTATAATTAATCTGATTTGAAATAAATATTATTTACTTTAAGTTTAAAATAACACAGAAATGCATTTTTAAAACAAACAGTAGCTGTGTTTTTAACTGAGAGTATCCATGGTTGATGAGTGTTGACAAGTTTATTGCTGTTCTACAGAGACTATTTGTTAAAACATAATTTAAGAAAATGAAGCGTTCACCTTTATTTATATAATTTTTAAGTACTCAGTAATCTTAAAAATTTTGTAAAATATTCTCTGTAATCTAAATTTAGGAATGTTGACTTTAAATTTACTATAGTCATTGCTTGTATTTTCTGATAATATTGTGTATACTTTCAAAATGGGCATGTTTATGCACAAAAATAAATGATTTTAAAATCTTGGTGTGTGATGATTTGCATTAAGCGTTTCAATTTTTGATTAGTAAATATAGTTTTCACTTAATAACAATATCACCTAACACAAGTAAAGTATAGAGGTAGACAAAGAAATCATGGCCAAACATGAAAATGGTGTTCATATGGCAAAATTAATTTTTGTTTAGTGTTTCTCTTTTTTGTGTTAGATTTAAATGATTTTCATTGGTTTTGTATATGAACTTGTGCACAAGCTACTGTTGTAAAAGTTTAAATAAGCAATCATCTGGGATGTAGGAATGAATTAATCCATTTTACATTGATTCCTGTGTATGTGTTTTGCTCTGAAAATAATGTATCCTAATTTATTACGTTGCCTTCTGGAATTAATTAAATTTGTGAACTAAGGTTCCACTGTATAAGCAATGTTTCTGTTGATAAAGATTTATTTTTAAATTCATCATGTTTGTATAGAAAGATTTCTCTATCTGCCTTGTCAAAATTCAGTTGTAAGTTAGGAAAATTACATCATTTATAATAATAGGCATTGTTGCTCTTTGCTATTTCAGATTTAGTCAAATAGAACCAAAAATAATTTAATGGAATTATCTTAATAAGTCAATATAATGTGTTTAATAAGATTTTCTTAAAACTATACAAAATTATTTAAACAAGTGACAAATATTAAGTTTGCTGAATTTATTATTATTAATATAAACTTTAGAAAAGGATTCAAATGTTTCTCTCATGGTCATCTCTATTTAGCTATGTCCAGAGTAGGAAATTCAAGTGAACTTAACATAATGACAAAAAGAACTTTGGAAAATACATGTGTTGCTGAAAATGTTGTTTATACAGAAATTTTAGAGAGGTAAGAGAAGTTCTATAACTTTTCTCTGTTCATAGGATGTGTATCTATCTTCTATACGCCATATCCGTTCAGGACGTAGATGAACATGGTTCTCCACAACTTCCTGTCTGTTGTAGCTCTTAGTAAATTTTGTCTTTTTGCTCTCTCCTAATCTGTTTTGCCAACCATTTACACAGCTTGTTAGGTAGGTTATGCACTGCTTTCCTTTCTCCCTATTGCCTTCAATATATACCTTGTGAGTGTAAAATTTTCTAAACCCTCTTTCCTCATTATGTGTTTGAGAAATTTCAACTGCTTCTTTCTGATGTTAAATATTAGTGTCCTTTTTTTTCCATTTTCTCTAAAACTTTGTCATTGCTCATATGTTCAGTCCATGTTATCCTCAGCATACTTCTGTAGAACCACATTTCTGTTGCTTCAATCCTCTTTTGCATCAGTGGCGAGATTGTCCAATATTTGCTGCCATATAGGAGGACTAATTTGTATTTGATAGAAAAACTCAATTAAATCATGTTCTTTATGATAAAACAAACTGTGTATTCTTTTAGTGTGATGATAAATAAAGTATTTTCAGTCTTCCTACTGTACATTTCTAGAATTCAGTTTTAGCAATTCTAAAAAAATATTTGAAATGTTGAAATTTTAAAGAATTGCATTTACTGATAAAACCTCTGAAAATGTGTAAGAGAAGATTTAAGAAAAGAGTTTGGAACTTACTGGAATTCTAGCTGAGATTTTATCATGTCCATTTTCTTTAATGTCTGAAAGAAAGAAATGAGGTGAAATTAAAACCAAATAAATCCACTTGTCATATTACCAAAAACAAAAAATGACATGTTTCAGGTGAAATATGAAAATCAATATTTACCCAATTCTGTTAAAGAATTTCTTGTTATCAGAATTCTTTAGTTAATTTTGATTTAAATAAATTCAGTAAAGTCAAGTGAAAAATTATTATTTTCTTTTTGATTTTAAAGGAGTAACAATTTTGATGAGACACTTATTGAAATACTAGCAAAGGTATATAATGCTTTCTGAGTATTTCCCAGTCTTAACTTAGTCTGGTAGAAAGCCCCCAAAAAATGAAACATTCAGTAAGAATGGATAGTGGCTCAGGTTGAGAAAGTGGAGAGCTGAGTTTGAATTTCAATCCAGTTTATTGCATTCACTTATGTGCAAATACCTCTGAATCTATCTCTTCCTCCCAGCTATGGTTAAACAGCAGAACAGACTGGGTCCTATAGTCTTGGGTAACAACCTGTCTAGGAGAAGGAAAACTCGGAATTCAAAAGCTGAGGAGGGTTGTTTGGGGACCGTGTGGCACACTATGTGCACCAGTTCTCTGTATTTGGCTCTTTCAAAAAGTGTGGTTGGTTCTGCATAAGCCTTTATCACTATAATGAAATTATATTTGCAGGTAGTCTCATTGTTCAGTTCTAAGAACTGAATTGCTGTACCCTCATATGTCAAAAATGATAGGAGAGTCCATTATAGTAGAGAGTTACTGCATGAGATTGTTGAAAAGGAGGAAATAAGTGAATATTATGAGAATATGTAGGATAGATAAATGTTGACCCTAGACTTGAAGAGGTTAAGAATTAGTGATTGGAGAAGCATTCTCTTGGGAGTTTATTTCACAAATTAGAAGATGTTCGAATGGAATTTTCTTCTTAGCAATAGAATATGAATGGAATAGGGATGATTCAACCCTGTGTATGTGGCATGGTAGGTTTTAGCTGTGAAGGGCTGAACTGGTGGAAACTAATTAATGTTTCTTGTCAGAACATTTGCCATAGAAATAGTGATAGAGTATGGAGAAGCTTGCGATGTGTTGTCTTTGGGTAAGGGGTTATAGGGTGAAAAATAATTCATCACCCACAAGGCTGTAAAGATGCTTTTGAGCTCTGTCATTGCTAGAAAGTAAGGATTGGGATCCTCCTGCCCAGATGGCAGTGATACTCCATTTTTGATCTGATCTGATTCTTGTCAAGATATAGCATAGCAGGAGGAGTCGGGTACTTTCTGAAGTGGTACAAGGAACATGCTACTCTATTGGTATTTTTATGGCAGGTGTTCAGATGAGCTACATTCTTTAGTTCCACCAGTTCAGACCTTCATAGCTAGAACGCACATTACCACATACACAGATTTGATTCATCCTATGAAGGAAGATGAGATTTTAAAAAAAATTATCTGGCAAAGGTTATCAGTATCAATAATTTCTGTGTCAGATATTTTTGTATGCTGGTTGCTCCGAAAGTAATGAATTCTATTTTATTATGCTGGCTCATGACATCAAAAGCAGATGGTGATGCTATGGCTGTAGCGGTTAAACCATTCCTCCAATAACGTATAAATTTTTTCTGCTTTCTTATTGCTGAGTGTCAGTCTGACCTGAGAACCAGAGTTGTATCATTGAATTACTGTATGTAAGAGAAAATAGCATCCACCAATAGTCATCAATGCTTGCTAAACATTTATGGAGATCAAACAGTTGATGTTAGCACAGTTAGGTAGTAGTTGCTGTATTTTAGCATTGCTAGAGTGAAACGAGTGTGGAATGCATGTTCTTGTTAAAAAAAAATACAGTGTCATTCATTAATCCATGGTGACATTGTCTGTTACTGTAGTAAAGAGTGTCAGCAATGTTTGTAGCAGAGCATGTAAGTCCTTGGCTGGTCTCAAAAGCCAATGCTGTGCATTGGTGAAAGTGTGGAATAATATCTTATCAAGTGATGACTATACTCAGAAATAAGAAAGCAGTCATTGTGTGTGTGTGTGTGTGTGTATATATATTACAGACACACACTTTACAGGGAGTCTACAAATTTATATATATATATATATATATATATATATATATATATATATATATATATATATATATATATATATATACACACACACAATGATAGACAATGGAGATTTTCAATCATAAGTAGAAATTTAAAATATAATTGTAAATTTTTATACAATTCACTGACAGTATTACAGGCCTTCATATTTAACTCATCCATTCATCTTGGTTGTTATACTCACAATATTTTGGCTATTGCACCCATTAGTTTTTGATAACTTTCTTAGAGATAGATTGTTCTCATTTTGTTTTCTATACATGGAGAACTTGTGTCAGCACATATTAAGCTCAGGCAATCTCCTCAGTAGACTTAGCATAATGAACACCACCTGGGAGCCTCTGATTATAAAAAAGAAGGGACAATTAAAAATTTTACTACTTGAGTAGAGATATTAGGTTTAAGGTTCCAAAATGACACCACTAGAGACATGGGGGTGAGTGAAAAAGCATTGGTTAAAACACACTGGTTTCTTGCACTTCTAAGTTCAGTCCTTGGATCAGGTAGTGCAGAAAAGATATATACTCTGGTTCAGTAGAAGAAACAAAAGTGAGACGAAGGTACTCTCATGCCCACAATAGAGAGTCCTGCCTGACTATTTAGATTTATTTCCAATCCACCCAGAGTTATTCCAGATCCATCCATTTATTTTATATTTTTTTGACCTATCCCCCTCTTCCTCATTTCTCTGAAAACACTAATTTTGAGTGAATTTTCAAACTTACCTTACCTTTCTATTCTGGACTGAAGAGTATTAAGCAATACAAGTTATCTCCCCTAAGCATGGAAAATGGAATGAGAACAATCTATGCTTGTGGATTGTATTAAAGGGTTTGTTTCAAAATTCTGAGAATGTTATCAAACATAACAGGCACTTTAAGGCCAAAATATAAAAAGGCTGAAATGTTGTGAGTATAACAACTAAGATAAGCATACTAGTCCAAATATAAAAGGCATACAAGAATTATAATTTCTCATCTAAAACATGACATAAATGACCTGACAGTTAAAATTATAGTAAATCTACTCTATTCATGTATGTTGATGTGTCCTTATTTCAAAATATAACAAAAACTATATAAGAATGGCCAAAATTTAAAAAAATTAAGCTCTATAGCTTCTGGAATATGAAAGATAAGCATCACATAAATTCATATAACATTGAAGATATTGGGACATTTTTTCAGGTTTATAAAGACAGTTATTTTTCACCACAAATTAAGAATACATAAGATTAATTAATTCTGATTATTATACAAGAATTATTTGCTGAAGCATCAAAAGAAGCAAGGTTGACAAACTTATTTTGTTCCAAAATCAAAATTAAAAATATTTACAAGTTTTTTTCTTCTTTTACTTACATCAAGGGAATTGTTGATGGTGTTTTCTTGAAATGCAAAATTCTTAGCAGCCTGAGCCAGAAGCTGTAAATGAAATACAATTGTTAAGTCATTCTATTGAGTATCACAGATACAAGATTTCTGTGCATCATCAAATTTAGTATCTGAAACAATTTTTGCATCCCAAATACTAAATTGCTATCCTTAGATTGTTTTCCCTAGCCTCATATTCTGAGCAGGATTTTTTTCCAGAGATAAAAATTTTAATTCAAGTTCTGTGACTGATAAGATTTAAAGATTGTAAAGAAAAAAAATAAATAATTAAAACAAAAAAAGAAGGTCAAACCTACCTCCTTTGGGTCTGAAAATCTTGCATCAGAAATAAAACAAGAGAGTCCAAAACACAGCATAATTTACTTAATGAATATAATCACAATTTAACACCCATGAGAAAAAAGAAAAAAACTTCTGTATATATTTTTTTTTTTTCTCTTGGTTTTTCAAAAAACATTCATGCTCAGAATACGAAACTAGGGAAAAGCAATCTAAGGGAGGTGATTCCCTATTTGGTGCATGAATACTGAAACACTAAAATTGATGCTACTCAAACTAAAAAAGACAAGGATATCTGTAACATTTTGCAAAGTGTTGTGTCGGAAACCTACCACCCCTCTTGGAGATGAACTTGTATGCGAACAAAGACGTTAAATAGTGGCATGTCAGAAGACAGAGAAGTTCTTAGCTGAGCTAGTTATTGACTACTCAGGCGATTTCTGTACCTATTTACCAACCTATTAAAACCCTTTTTATTGTTACGTGTTATTTGGCATTTGTCTCTACTAACCCCAAATCAACATCATAACAGTGGCGACGAGAGATTTGTTCATCACGCTGAGTGGAGAATTTTTCAACTCTAGGTGGACTATATAAATTTTTTTTCTCGCTCTGAAAAAACAAAAAAAAAAAAACAAAAACAAAAAAAACAAAAAACAAAAAAAACAAAATACGTCAAACTTTGTTCTTCACAAAGAATTGGGATTTCAACGTGCCAAAAAGAAGTAAGACTTGTGCTTATTGTGGATATATACGTGTTTTTTCCCTTTTTGTCTGTTTTCGAAAAGTGTTTTGTGTAATTTATTACACATAATGGAAGATTTGATTGCATTAACGAAAACTCTAGTGCAAATTCAGCAACAAGAGCAACAAAAATTGCAATAAGAGCAATAAAAATTGTTTCGGGAACAACTATTGGATTTACAAGTTCAGCAGCGAAATGACACAAAGGCTTTATTTGAAGCGATTTTATATAGAATCCAGTAAATTCATCATTCACGGCCGAAGGTATTGCTAATTCTATTACTGAGTTCAAATTTAACCCAGAGGAGGGTATAACATTTCCTGCGTATTTCAGAAGATTTGAAACAATATTTGAAAAAAAAATGTGAAGGTTGGACTGATGAACAAAAAGTGAGTTTACTTTTACAAAAGTTGGGTACAGATGAAAATAATAAGTATACGAATTCTGTCCTTCCAAGAAAAACTGGTGACATTTCTTTTGAAGAAACTGTTAATACTTTATCTAGTATTTCTGGAAGAAAATTGCATTTTCAAGGTGAATTTTCTTGTAATATTTCATTTGTTGGTAAGACACTAAAGTCTAAAGTGTATGTGCTACAAAATGCTTCAAATTTGTTTGGAACAGATTGGATTATACTTTTTAATTTATGGGAACTCCCTATAAATTCTTTTTGCAATAGAATTAATGTTTCTTCTCCGTGTAAAAATCGGGTTACAGAAAATTTGGTGAAAGATCTGAAAATAAAATTTCCGCAAGTATTTTCAGAAGGTCTTGGATGTTGTAAAAAGACGAAGGCAAAATTTGAAGTGAAGGAAAATGTAAAACCTATTTTCAAGCGAAAAAGAAATGTGCCATTTGGTGTTTTGGAACAGTTTAACAAAGAATTGGAACGGCTTGAAAATTTAGGAGTTATTTCACGCATTGAATTTTCAGAGTGGGCCTGCCCTGTTGTATATGTTAAGAAAAAAAATAATAAAATTCGGATGTGTGCCGATTTCTCTACGGGTCTAAATGATTGCTTAAAAGACCACACATCCTTTGCCTTCACCAGAAGACATTTTTGCAAGTTTAAGTGGAGGAAAAATATTCTCTAAATTGGATTTATCGGATGCCTATCTCCAAGTGAAAGTGGACGAAGAATGTTCTAAATTGTTGACTATCAATACACACAAGGGTTTATACAAATTTAACCGTTTGCCTTTTGGTTTAAAAGTATCCCCTAGTATTTTTCAGCAAATTATGGACACTGCGCTGGCAGGGTTGGACTTCACCATTGCATATCTTGATGATATTTTGATAAAAAGTAAAGATCGAAATGAACATTTGGAACATATTAATCAGGTTTTTGAAAAAAATTGAAGAATATGGATTCAAACTTGCAGCTGAAAAATGTGAATTTTTTATGAGTGAAATTAAGTTTTTGGGGCAGATAATAGACTCTGATGGAAGAAGACCAGATCCGGTGAGGGCAGAAGCGATCAAAAGCATGCCAACTCCCAAAAATGTAACGCTACAAGCGTTTTTAGGACTTGCTAACTATTATGGGATATATATTCCTAATTTGTGCAGCCTTATGGCTCCATTAAATAAATTGCTTAAAAAGGGAGCAAAGTGGGAATGGTCAGAAGTGTGTCAGAAGGCGTTTGACAAAATAAAGAATATTTTGACTTCGGAATTATCACTAACACATTATGACCCTAAACAGGAAATTATAGTGGCATCGGACGCAAGGCGAGTACGGAATAGGTGCAGTAATTTTGCATAAATTCAGAGACGGCAATACGAAGCCAGTGGCACATGCATCAAGGACATTATTACCCGCAGAAAAGAAGTACTCTCAAATTAAGGAAAGAAAGCTGAGCTATTATCTATGCTTGTAAAAAATTCCATAAGTACATACATGGAAGAAGGTTTATATTGCAGACCGACCATCGCCCGCTGCTTTCGATCTATGGTTCTAAGAAGGGTATAACTACTCATACGGCAAACCGTTTGCAACGATGGGGAACCATTTTGTTGAATTACAATTTCAAAATGGAATTTTTATCATCAAAAAATTTAAGCCATGCTGACGGCTTATCTAGGCTGATCCTGACGTCTTCGGAACCGCTAGAAGATACGGTGATAGCGTCGTTACAAGCAGAAAATGAATTGGTGGAAGTAATGTATAACACAGTAAAAGAATTACCGGTGACATTAGATGAAATAAAATTAAAAGCAGAAAAAGACATTTTTATTAGAAAAATGAAAGAAGCTGTAACTTCAGGAAAGTATAAAACTTCTTCACCAGCATATTCAATATGTGATGAAGTGCTGTTATATGCTGGAAGGGTTGTGATACCGGTTGTACTACAAAAGCGGATGTTGAAGGAATTTCATCAGGGGCATCCTGGTATTGGACGTATGAAAGCCCTGATGAGGAGTTACGTTTATTGGCCAAATATGGACAAAGACATTGAACAGGTAGTTAAAACTTGTAGAGGGTGTCAAATGGCAGCGAAAGCACTGCCAGTAAAATACACACCATGGCCAAAAACAGATGTTCCATGGACCAGACTCCATATAGATTATGCTGGACCCATGAATGGTAATTTTTACTTGATAGTTGTGGATAGCTATTCCAAGTGGCCTGAAATTTTTAAGTGCAAAAGACCAACTGCTTCTGTAACAAAAGATTTTCTTACAGAACTGTTTGCACGTTTTGGAGTACCAGAAAATATTGTCACCGACAATGGAACTCAATTCACAGGAAGTGAATTTAAGACGTTTTGTAAGACTCTTGGAATTGACCACATCATGACTTCACCGTACCATCCTAGGTCAAATGGACAGGCTGAATGGTTTGTTGATACGTTCAAGAGAGCCCTTAAAAAAACAAATGGTACTAATACAGATGATGGTAATATACAGCAGTTTTTAAGTATATACAGAATAACACCAAATCCAAATGCAATATCAGGGATGTCTCCAGCTGAACTGATGTTTGCTAGAAAAATTAGATCTGTGTTCAATAGGCTGCTGCCGGAAAGAAAAAGGAGTTACCAGAACAAAACGCATCAGGAAAATATGAAATATTTCAGGCCAGGAGATAAAGTTTTTTTTAAAAATTACAAAAATGGGAAGGAATTTTGGCAAGATGGAGTGGTAACGCAAAGAATTGGTAAGATGTTGTACATGATAAGAAGTAAAAAATGGACGCACAAAAGACATTTGAACCAATTAAGGAGAAGAAACATTGAAGAAATAAGTAAAGAAAATGAAGAACCAATGGAGGTATTATATGATTTATTTGATATACCAACTCCACCATTGCCTGAAACAGTTGTCCAAAGATGGACAAGCAAAAGAAAAAGAACTAGGGTGGAATGTTTAAGTCCAGATCCCAAAAGGAAAAGATATTAATTCCTCTGGAATTAATCTCAAGGGGGAGGTGTTGTGTCGGAAACCTACCACCCCTCTTGAAGATGAACTTGTCTGCAAACAAAGACGTTAAATAGTGGCATGTCAGAAGACAGAGAAGTTCTTAGCTGAGCTAGTTATTGCCTACTCAGGCGATTTCTGTACCTATTTACCAACCTATTAAAACCCTTTTTATTGTTACGTGTTATTTGGCGTTTGTCTCTACTAACCCCAAATCAACATCATAACACAAAGTAAACAGATTACAAAATGAACACATTTACCAAAAATCCAAAGTAGTGAACATAGATTAATATTTTGGGAAGCTATAGTAGTGATCATGCAAAAAAATAAACCATTATATGATTTTTCATTATATTTACCAGTATTTTTAATCACAATTTTCATACAATTTATAAATGACTTTTAAACCATAAAAAAAAAACCCATTGATGAGAGTTAACTATGAGACTCGTTCCAAGCATTTAGGTTGTACACAGTTGACACTAATGAGGGTCCTATAGGAGAAAAGTATATATCCTATTTTCATTTTCCCCATTATGGGCATTAGTATATTCATGATGTAGTAACACAGTAATACACAGAT